CTCTCACATCAATATTTCTCTCTCTCCCTCCCTCCCACTCTATAAATAGAAAAATATCCTCCAGTGCATGGATTGATGCTCAACTACTGAGCCGCACCAGCCAGGCCTTGTCTACTTCTTTATCTCTCAATCTCTATAATCCACTCCATTCAGATCTTCTCCCCGACACAGAAATTGCTTTTATCAAGACCACCCAGCAAACCTCTCTCTCTATATGCAACGATCAATTCTCACTCTGCACCATATTCATCATTCAGCAGCATTTGATATACTTTCCCCTGGCTCTCAGGCCACCACCCTTTCCTGGTTTTTCTTCTTTCCTCAGTGACAAGCCCACCTCCCTTTTCCAACCTCTCAATTTGAGTGCCCCAGGGTTGTCCCCAGTTCCTACCTTTTCCTCTTGATCTACATTCATTACCCAGGTGTCCTTCACCCACTCTTAAAATTTTAAGTACCATTTTATGTATTGGAACTATTCTATATTATTTCAAAATTTGTAGTGCATTTTGTAGTTGCCTTAAAGTAATACTTATGTGTTTTAATCTGGGCAGTTAGAGTAAATGTTCCACGAGGACAAAGATCTCTACCACCTTGTTATTTCTTTTCCATCCTTTGTCTGTGCATGGTAAGCCCTGATTAAAGCTGTCAACTCCATCTCCGATTGTGCTCAAGCACTGAAAAACATACAATTTTACTACTGGTAGAAGAAGCAGGGTTTACAGTTATCCAAACTTAAGCAGCAAGTATAACCTACAAGTTATTGAGCCTTGAAGCCAGGACCTGCTCAGGGCTCATAGTCTATTATGGTCACCTTACAGTGTGTCAAACCACAATCTTTCCACGGAGATTGAGACCATAAGCCGGTCAAGTAGTTCCTTCTTTTTTTTCTCTTTTTATTGATGTTAGAAAGAGAGTGAAAGGGAGAGATAGAAACATCGATGAGAGAGAACATCGACTGGCTGCCTCCTGCATGCCCCCCCTGGGGATTGGGCCCACAACCTAGGCATATACCCTGACCGGGAATCAAACTGGCGACCTCTTGGTGCATGGGTTGATGCTCAACCACTGAGCCACACCGGCCAGGCCAAGTAGTTTCTTCTTTTCAGCATTTTCAATGAGGTGAAGGTAAAATAGACACTTCTTTCCACTGGCGGTTTCTCATGTGGTGACGCTGGTCACAGGGATATCCCTGCTCCAACTAAATACCAAAGAAATAACACTTAAACTAGAGCCACAATTTCAGTGTACAAGAGCCCACAAAAGTGTACACAAATCTGGGCTGTTACCTGAACAATGTACACCTCTCCCACTGTCTTACAAGTTAGGAGCAAACAGCCCTTGGTCCCTGAGGATATTTCATCTAATAACAGTCAGCATAAACCTGGAGCAGCCTCATTGCAAAGCGGAGTGAACAAGCATCGCATGGTTCTGAGTTTCAGGCCACAACAGTCTCTGTGCAGCCTTTCTGATGGTAAAGGCCAAGCTCGACCTCTTAGTTACATTGCCTCCTTACCAAGGGGAAAAAAAACAAAAGGTCTCTATAGGTTGCTCAGGGTCACTGGGTAGAAATCAAACGATACTCTCCCTGTCAATCAACCCCCGTCTTTAGCCACGATTATATGATATTTTATAAATTCACTATTTTACACTTAGATTTTTCAAAGTGAGGTTCCAGGATCTTTGAGGATGCTCCTCCATGTGGTTTAAGACATCTCAAGGAGCTTCTGTGCACCAAACACAGAATGAAATAGGCCTTCTGATTTTAAATCAGATAACAAAGATTTATCTTTGAACAAAGCTTCAGACCTGACCAGTCATAAGTAACAGAATGTACAGCCAAGTTTTATAAAGGACAAAAACTGCAATAACAGATACTGGAGGATACATTATTCCAAAAAAGAGGAAACCTGGAAAATGAGTAGTGCCAAACAATGTTTTTATTGTTCACTAAAAAGTACAGGTCTGGAAAGAGTCTATTGCATTGTGTTTTGACTGCAAGGTCTGATATTACAACTATATACAACAACAGTACAACATATTAAATGATACATATTGTACACAGAGATAGTACCCACCTTTCTAAACACTAAAATTTAACAGAATGAAGTAAAAAAGCCTTTTACAAAATGAGAAATGTAAACACTGCGATCATAAACAAAGTACTCTAAGCAAAGCACTTCACAATTGTTTTGTTGCGACATCTACTCTGTCTACCTAGAATTAGGAACGGCGGGGACCAGGAGAAACAGCTAACGCAGTGCTCTCAAGCACTTCTTGAGAGTGCTATCACTCTATGGATAAGAACACCTAGCATTTTTTAATGAATCTGACACTCTCAGCAAACACTGAAATGTGCTTGAGCATAAAGATATTAACTTTCGGAACAAAAGCCATTTTCTGTGTAGTCTGCAGATATCATCATCTATTCCTTCCAGCTATGTTTTCATTAAGATGCACCTAAAGAGGATATCCTGCCAGTTAGGCAGGCCACGACGGAGGTAACAATACTTCTCCAGTTACTACCACTAACTCAAATGAATTAAAAATAAATACAAATTTATTAGAGAGCAACAAAATCAATCTCTACTATTCACATGGCAACATATTCAAGAGCTCAACATTATTCACATTCCAAGGTCAACTTTACTATGCCTACCTTTCTCTCCAAACTGAGAAAGCTCTGTGTGGAGAGCATACAACATCAACACCACCTGCCCCGCTCCAAATACTATCAGGGATCAGAAAGCTCATTATAGACAAAAAAATTTTTTAATTGCATCTCAATATACATACAGCAACAGAGGAAGGCTACATGCTCCCTCTGGGCTTCCTTGGCATCAGGCAAAGCGAGGCTATAAGGCTATTTGCAACAACAGTGCCTAAACTAACTATGGCAATGCTCACATTCTACAAGAAATCTGGATCACAAAGTTCCTTTATTTATAGGTAATTAAGGATTATTTAATTAAGGATTATTAAATAACTTCCTGAACTAAGACAACAGTCTCACCATCAAAGAAAATTTTCTTCTCACTTGAGAAGTTTTCATAAGTGAGATTTTATAATATCTCAGTTTCTTTCCTTAATATTAAACTATCAATGCACAGAGGACATCCTTAGAGGTCACGTATGAATAATATTAATATTCTCAGATTTTTCTACACTTCACAGATCAACAAATATTTTATCTGACTATCCACTTAAGAGATTTGTAAGTCAATAGTAGTAATCAACTATGTCTTTTTCTTATTCTGTTCATCAAAAAATACCATGTTCCAAAGAAATAAAGCCCAGTTCGGGGGAAATCTTGTTCCCCTCAACTCTGCATAGTAAATTTCACCCTTTGGTCTATGTTCTTGACTTTTCCTATGACTCTTCTAGTCTAAGGAAAATCTTAGAATAAAGGTAGAAAATTGCAAACTCCAACGGAAGCATTGGTGTTAGTACTGAAGTAGACTTTCGGGGTCTTATAATTGCTTATGAGACTATTTACAGCCTTGCTAGAAACACCACTGCTCCTGAATCCCTAGATTGAGAAATTCTAGTAATTTAAACACAGGAGGGGATTTCATTGAGAAAGGTTTAGTTCAAATGTAAGGTTCTGGTCCCTGGAATGATGATGAGTGACTAGCCCAAAATACTGGCCACGTTTCAATTTTGAACAAGTTCATGACTCTTCCCTGCTACCGTCTGTCAGATTCTTCCATCTGCCACGTCACTGGGAGCCCAGCCCCTGCTGCTCTGATTTCATTCGGATGTTCTACTGCACATATGGGATTCGCTGAGGTTATCACTTCAGTGTGCAGAAAATTTCCATTTCACACCATCAGCTTCCTAAAAGCCATCAACTGGGAACAATTTCTAGTGACTAAAGGCACAATTCACTGGCATTTCCTCTTTATAAAGGAAATCAAAAAGGTTGTTTAGAAGTTGGTATCCCTATAAAAGGAATGAAGTATCTGCTACCAAAACTCAGACATTTACTAGATCTATATAGACTAGGTAGATTATGTAAAAGCATGAATTTGGCAGTTGAAAACATATTTCCAATTTCACACTGCACCATTTTGGGGTGGGGGTGCTGGTTAGTACCACAGAAGCAAGTTAGGTGTCGACACCACCCTTTTGGTTTGTTTTCCTCACCAACGTCCTCCAGTTACGGCGAAGCCTGTCCCTGGGCACGTCACTCGGCAGCCCGCGTGCTGCTCCGAGAGAGGACCAGGGATTCACCTCAACTAGCCCAGCATCTAGATGTCAGCTGGGGGCAGAGCTCATGAAAAGCCTTAAACTCAGGAAAGAATTACAGAATTGCATAAAAAGTCTTGGTTTTATAATACTTTCCTAGGAAGTCAGAAAATAATTGGGTTTTAGTTAAAGAAACTGAATCTATGCTCAAAAACAATGTAATGCCTCAGAAAGCAGAATCTACAATGGAAAAATTACAAATACAGCTTGTTAATCAATAGCTTACTTTGGCAAAATTATCATAGTAAGTCAGTGTAATTTATTATTGCATTTAGAAGCACAGCCTACCATGTTCTCATAAAACAGGGTATAGTGAAGTATATGAAAACAGTTCACAGCCTTTTGTGACTTCAGAAGTGAACAAGAGAAAGGCTGACCAGGATTTGCCATTCAGCATAAGGTGAGTCAGGAGACAGCTAAACATCTGATTCTTATTCACGTATGGTCTCAGGAAGTTCCTATTTGGACAAGGATGGTTCTCAACCTGGCTTCACATCAGAGTCATCTAAGAAGCTTTTAAAAAGTGCCAAATGCTCAGCCCAATTACACCTGGAAGGCGAGGCCCAGAAATCAGTATTCTTTCTGCTTCCCCACGAGGCGACTCTCATGTGCGGCCAGGATGCACACTCCCTCTTGGAGAGCTGCTGCGTGAGAGCCATATCATGTCTACAGAGTTCGTATTTTACTGAATTTTACCAGGAAGAGGGATTTTTAGAAAAAGGCACAGCTGTGTGTCCTCTAAAGATGTATCTTACTGTTTGAGAGGTGCTGTTTCTTGGAGGTTATCTGGAGTGCTGGTTGAAAAGGAGGAAGTCCTTGTCTTGACACAGCAGGCATAGTTTCAGGCTTCGGCAGCTGCCTCCAGCAACAAAAAATGCCCAGACGCCCATGAACACCATGATCGTATATGCTGACAGTAGACTTATTCCATAATGAGGACTAATGAAGGTCTGCAAAGAACAAAAATGAAATCAGCTTGTGTAATAACAGCTAGCTTAGTAAACATATGGAGTCACCAAATATAAAGGGAAATATGAAATACTTTTTAACAGCTGGGGTGTGTTTCACCAAACACACGACATATGTCATGTCCCGAGGAGCATCAGAATCCACAAAGACACACAGACTAACCTAGTCAACAGACACTAGCCCGTAGAGCTGTGCTTTGCTGTATGCAAATGGCAACCCTAGGAAGTAATCGGAAGCCAGAATCTACTGGAATACCCAACAGAAGATACATGTTATGTAAAAATGTATAACTTGCTCTTAGAATTTGGAAAAAAGCTAGACAAGCCCAAGTTTCTTTAGCATGAACCATTAGTATTCAAGGGAACATGAGGGAACAGAACCACCTCTTCTTCAGCTGCAAATTGATGTAGGTTCCAAAAATTCATTTAAAAACACTAATGGGATGCCCAGAGGTCCTGACTTACACAACGGTGAAGACCCTAGTTCTACCCCAATGGAGCTCATACACTAGAAGGAGACCGGTAATGAATGAAAAACAAATAATTAAATAATTACAAACTATGATGAAAGCTAGATCAGAATAATTATAATTGTGATGGTGACAGGATAGGTAAGAATGAGATGATCTACTTAGGGTAGTCAAGGAAGGCCCTGAGGAAGTGGCATTTAAAGTGAAACATACAGCCCTGGCCGGTTTGGCTCAGTGGTTAGAGCGTCGGCCTGCGTCCGGAGAGACCCGGGTTCGGTTCCCGCTAAGGGCACGTACTTCGGTTGCAGTTTGTCCCGGGCCCTGGTTGGTCGTGCGGGTGGCAGCCACTCGATGTGCCCCTTCACGTCGATGTTTCTCTCTGTCTCTCCCTTCCTCTCTCTCCCTCCCACTCTATCTGTACAAAAAATGGAAAAATATCCTCGGGTGAGGATAAAAAAATAAATAAATAAATAAATAAAGTGAAACATACAGCCCTGGCTGGTTTGGCTAAGTGGTTAGAGCGTCAGCCCAGGGACCAAAGAGTCAAAGGTTCGATTCCGGTTAAGGGCACGTACCTTGGTTGCGGTTCAGTCCCTGGCCCTGGTCGGGGTCGTGTGGGGGGCGACCAGTCAATGTGTCCCTCTCACATCAATGTTTCTCTCTTTCCCTCTTCCTCTCTCTCCCTTCCTCCCACTCTATCTGAAGAAAAGTAGAAAAAAAAAAATCCTCAGATGAGGATTAAAAAATAATAAGTAAAGTCAGACATACAGAAAAAGGAGTGAGCCAGCCTGTGTGGACCGAGGGAGGTAACCAAAGGAGCTCGGTGCAGCTCAGAGCCTGAGAAGAGCCGATGTTAACCATGTGCGGGTGGGGTGGGGTGGGGTGGGGAGTACATGAGATGAAGTCAGCGGCCAGCTACAAAGTATGTTGGTAAGAAGTGTGGATTTTACACTAAGTGCAATGGAGGGTCACAGAGTGTTTTAGGTAAGGGGAGCTGAATGGCGATTAGATTTTTAGAACTGCAGAGAAAGGTAAAGGAGGCTATGGTGAAAGCAGTAAGACGTTGTACTGGATGAGGAGAGTACAGGATGGTGACAGACCAGGCGGGTGGAGGCAGAGATGGAGAGCGGATGATGAGCACTGACAGGACTTGCTGATGGATGGGATGTGAGGGAAAGTGAGAGGCCAAGAATAACGTCCATGTGTTTGGCTTTAGGTAAATGGTGGTACTATTTAAGGAGATAACAAAGACTTGAGAAAGACCAAGCTTGGAGTGGTGGGTGAGAATCAAGTCCAAAGAGGACATGCTAAGGGTGACATGTCTATGAGATTTCAGAAGGCAGATGTCAGGGAAGCAGTTAGATATATGAGTGTGGGAGAGGAGAGGTCTGGACTAAAAAAAGATATAAACACACAGAGATGGTATGTAAAGCCATGGCTATGAATGCACAGAGAAGGGAGAAGAGAAGTCAAGACCAAGCCCTGAGAACATTTATCAATTATTTGTGCTGCTCAGTATCACAGGAGCAAATTAGAAGTGTCAACACCACTCTATTGGCTTGACTTACTAAAAAAGAGTCAGCAAAGAAGTCTGAGAAGAGCAAACAGTGAGGTAAAAAAAAAAATCAGGACAGTGTGATGCAGAAGTCAAAAGAGAAAAGCGTTTCAAAGAGAAGGCGGCCACCTCTTTTTAAGGGCTGCTGAGATGAGAAAAGAACAGTGATCACTAGATTTGGAGAAATGGAGGGCCTTTCGATCCTGACAAGTACAATTTTAAAGGGGTGGTTGAGCAGAAACCAGACTGGACTAGGAGTATGAGAAGTGAAGAAGTTGAAGGTGAAGACAATGTTTGGGGATAACTCTGAGACGTTTTGCTGTGATGGGGAACAGGGTAAAGGGTGGTGGGTAGAAGTGGGGAAGACAATAATAAAGAGTTTTACTTAAGACATGTCTGCAAGCTGATGAAGAGATGGAAAGGCTGGTGATGTAGGACAGAGGGTACAATCAAAGGAGTAAGTCCTTGAGTAGGAAAGAAATGGGTCTAGAGCCCAAGTGGAGGAACTGACTTTTGACAGAAGGAGGGATCCTCTGCCAGGCCAGGGTAAGGAGGGGAGACAGGTTCCCATCTAGCCTAGCATTTGCACTTAACAAAGGAGAGGACCTGATTGGGTCAGTCTGTCACTGTACGCCTCTGCCTATCTGGGGTAGGAGAGTGCTGCCAAAGCTCCTCACTTTCCTCCCCCTCACCCTACCTGCACATGCCCCTGGCTAAGGCATCAACCCTGCCTATAAGCTATGGCCAGGGAAACAGGCTGATTTTGCAGGCAGCATCTTCTATAGAAAGAATGCTTTTCTCAAGAGGCATCTGTGGGCAGGGCAGGCACTGAGCATTTTCTGGATTCTTCTTCAGAATAATTTTATACCTTAAATCCACTGAATTTTAAGTACAAACCATAAAAAAATGATTAGACTACATTAAATAACTTTTGTTCATAAAAAGACAACATTAGGAGAATATAAAGACAACCCCATTGTAGAGTTATTTGCAATGCTTACACCTGACAAAAAAAAACTCTTTTAAATAACTTATATAGAACCCCTAAAAAACAAAAATATAAATACAGACAACCCAACAGAAGGATGGGCAAATGACCTGAACAGGCACTTCACAAAAGGATCATCCAAATGGCCAATAAATGTATGAAGACATGCTCAACCTTCTAGCCCTAGCTGTTCAGTCCAGGATACTCTTTCTCCAGACAGCTACATAACCAACTCCACTTCGTGTCCCCTTCACAATGAAGCCTATCCTGACTACTTAATTCAAAAATTTGCTATTCTTTCACCTCCCACACTCTGGACCCCTTTTAACTTGCTTTACTTCTCCTTCTTCCATAGTACCTATCAATTTCTAGCAAACTATATAATTTCTTATTATGCCTATTGTTTATTGCCACTCCCTCCCCACTAGATTATAAAGGCAGAGATCTTTGTTTTGGTCACTATTTTGTTCACCTAGAACAGTATCTGGAACATAGAGGGCACTCAAATATTTGTCAAATGAATGGTCAGTTGGATTCATAAGAAAGACATTTGCTTTTTAAAAAAAAAAATTTTTCCTTTATTGATTTTAGAGAGAGAGGAAGGGAGAAGGAGAGAGAGAGAGAAACATCGATGAGAGAGAACATCGATTGGATGCCTCCTGCATGCCCCCCACTGGAGATTTGGCCCACAACCTGGACATGTATCCTGACCAGAAATCAAACCGGCGACCTCTTGGTGCACGGTTGATGCTCAACTGCTGAGACACACTGGCAGGACAAAAGACATTTGCTTTTTTACATAACTTCCTTTCTGATTATAAAATGTATGTTGTAGAAAATTTGGAACATGCCAAAAACTATAAAGAATAAAAGAACCCACCCAGAGATAAATACTGTTAATATTTTAATGCATTCTCTTTCCTGTCTGTTTTTCCATGAAGATTTGACTTTACATAGTTGACATCATATTAAGGGTAACTTTAGTATCCAGTACCACTGAAAGGTTTTAAGTAGGAGAGACAGTAACACTGGATCGAGGACAAGGAGTTCAGTATAAGAAAACCTGATATAAATTCTAAATGGATGGAGAGGAGGGAAACATGAGGCAGGGCACCATCAGAAGAATCCTTTAAAATACTTTAGATGAGAAATAACAACGGTCTGGACAAGGCAGTGATGGGAATAATTCTGATGCAAATATCTGAAAAACTGTAATAAAAGTCAGACCCAAGGCATTCAGTAGTACTTAAAAATGTATCTAGTCACGTTTTCGTTCTTTCTTTTTTTTTTTTAAAAAAACAAGTTAGTTTTGTTTGTTTTTTTCTTTATTGATTTGAGAGAGAGAGGAAGGGAAAAGGGAAGAGAGATAGAAACATTGATGAGAGAGAACATCGACTGGCTGCCTCCTGCATGCCCCCCACTGGGGATCAGGCCCACAACCTGGGCATGTGCCCTGACTGGGAATTGAACCGGTGACCTCTTACTGCATGGGTCAATGCTCAACCACTGAGCCACACCGGCCGGGCTCGAGTTTTCTTTTAAAACATTATTTCTTTGGAAAACTGGCATTAGTATAATGTCAGAGAGAAGAGAGTGAAATGGTCACTCTTGTTATTGATCAGATAGATTAATAATGATACAACCCTGTAAGCAGTATTTTAGCAATTTGCATCATGGGCTTTAAAAGTATTCATACCATTTAACTTTGTAACTCCATTCCTTGAAACAACATATTTTAAAAGTTTCATGTACAAAGATGTCCAAGACAGCATTATAATAACCAAAACTAGAAACAGAAGGGATCAGTAACTTAAGCACTCTATAATACAATTTTTACGTAATGATGTAAAGCCATTAAAATGTATATATTAAAAGGATTTATAAGAACATGGGAATTGCTCTGGCCAGTTAGAGCATCCGCCTGTGAACCAATGAGTCATGGGTTCAATTCCAGTCAAGGGCACGTACCTCAGTTGCAGTTTGCCCCTGGCCCTGGTCAGGTCATATGGGAGGCAACCACTCGATGTGTCTCTCTCAGGTAGATGTTTCTCTCTCTCTCTCCCTCCCTCCCACTCTATCTGATGATAAACAGAAAAATATCCTCAGATGAGGATTAAAAAAAAAACATGGAAATTATTTAAGACGTGTTATATAAAAAGCATAATGCAAGACTATTTCAGGTTTGACTATACTCATTAAAAGACACTAGAAAAAAGTCTTTAATAAGATCAACAAATTAATAGTTGCTTTTCTGTACTAAGACTGATGATTTATCCATCTAGCATTCTTTTAAATAACTTTCCTCATTTCCCCACAAGCACGTATTTCATTTAGAGTGGAATCCACCATTATAGACATGTGGACTAGAACTCCAAAAACCAGTCTGAGCACAGTGGCAATACTCACCAGGGCTGACACCAGCAGATGGGTCAGGAGAACCACAAGAAGGGCGTACCGGTTGTTCCTCTCACAGCCATCAAAAAATACAATGCCCCAGAACACATGCAGCAGTATGATCACCAGCGTCATGAAAGCTGAAAGACAGTCATCCATTAGAGCCCAGTTATTTGAACAACAGATGCCAAAGCCCACTGAACACCTGCTCATGGTATACAGGCTCTTGGGGTACCACAGCACTGTGAGGGCTGAGCTGCCACCTGCAAGACCATGACACATATTTGCTCAAATGGTCACTTGGAAAGCAATATTTCTGAACCAGGGGTCAGCTCTGCAGCAGCTTCTCTAGAATGTAAACCTGTTAGTCAACTTGAATCTGGATTTCAAGAAGTTCCTCTGAGAAATGCAATAAAAGTCTGGCCGGTGTGGCTCAGTGATTGAGCATCGACCCATGCACCAAGAGGTAGCCAGTTCGATTACTGGTTAGGGCACATGCCCAGGTTGTGGGCCAAATCCCCAGTGGGGGGCATGCAGGAGGCAACCAATTGATGTTCTCTCTCATCGATGTTTCTATCTCTCTCTCCCCCCTCTTCCTCTCTCTCTAAAATCAATAAAGAAAAAAATATTTTTTAATGCAAAAAAAACTACTGTTAGCCCTGGCCGGTTTGGCTTAGCGGTTAGAGCGTCGGCCTGCGGTACGGAGAGACCCGGGTTCGGTTCCCGCTAAGGGCACGTACTTCGGTTGCAGTTTGTCCCCGGCCCTGGTTGGTTGTGCAGGTGGCAGCCACTCGATGTGTACCTTTCACGTCGATGTTTCTCTCTGTCTCTCTCCCTCCCACTCTATCTGTACAAAAAATGGAAAAATGTCCTCAGGTGAGGATAAAAAAAAACAAAAAAAAACTACTGTTATATTTAATCAGCTTTTCAAATTAGCCTTCTGCACTAATTAAGAGAGACTTTTCTCAGTTAAAAGGAGTATCTTCTTTTTTTTTTATCCTCACCCGAGGACATTTTTCGATATTTTGTTCAGATAGAGTGAGAGGGAGAGAGAGAGAGAGAAACATCGACGTGAAAGCGACACATCGAGTGGTTGCCACCCGCACGACCCAACCAGGGCTGGGGACAAACTGCAACCAAGGTACGTGCCCTTAGCGGGAACCGAACCCGGGTCTCTCTGGACCACAGGCCGACGCTCTAACCGCTGAGCCAAACCGGCCAGGGCTTTAATAAGATTTTTTTTTGTTTTTTTTATCCTCACCCGAGGACATTTTTCCATTTTTTGTTCAGGTAGAGTGGGAGGGAGAGAGAGGAACAGAGAGAGAGAGAGAAACATCGATGTGAAAGGAACACATCGAGTGGCTGCCACCCGCACGACCAACCAGGGCCGGGGACAAACTGCAACCGAGGTACGTGCCCTTAGCGGGAACCGAACCAGGGTCTCTCAGGACCACAGGCCGACGCTCTAACCGCTGAGCCAAACCGGCCAGGGCAGTATCTTCTTTTTAAACAAGTCTTTTCAGTAAAGTAAAATTTCTCCTTGGATTTTTTTAAAGGCCAAATGGAAGAATAAAAATATTAAACATTGCAATAATTATCTAAGGTTATTCTTAAGCAACTGAAATTAAGTTTTATTAGCACACACAGCTTTTCCTGTGAAATATTGTGTGTGTGTGTGTGTGTGTGTGTGTGTCCTGGATAAAATTCTTTATTTAAAATGGTGAAGTTCCACATATTCTGAAAGTTTTAACATGGAAAAAAAAAGGCATACAGATATCCCTCTTGTTGGCCATGCAATAACATACCATTAACACCTACTAGTCTGGCAAAAATTCAAGTCTGATGATTCTTTTTTACACTGCTGGTAGGAAAACAATCCAATCACCTACTTACTCTATTTCACTTCAGCAATTCCACAGTCAGGAGAATACTCTGAAGCAATTAGTTCTTGTTACAAATACAAATTCATCGGACCCACCCCGAACTTCCAGAATCAGACACAATGAGCCCAGCAATCTGTTTCAACAGCCCTCAAGTTGATTCTGACACACAGTCAAGTCTGAGAGCCCCTGCTCTAGAGAAACTCATGTATTTGACCATTGATATCAGCACTATTTGTAATAATAAAAAATGTCCATCATTTCCAGAATACACAGACTGTAGTAAATTCACATATGGAATACTATATGATCTACAATAGAAATGGCCTCAAGATTAACGCTGAGTAGAGAGATAAAACATGGAAAAATGACTTATTTCACTTATACAGAATCAAAAACACACAAAACAATATTAAAAAGACATAACAATTGTGGTTGGAGAAAAGCAAGTTGTTACATCTAGTGATAGCATGCCATTGTTTCCATAAATGATGGTAAATACTTTTAAATAAAGTAGAAGAGGGATTTTTTAACTTGGGGACATTGGTAGACCTAACTAAAATGACATATTTTAATCCCAGTGATGAACCTGGTGATGTGATGATATAGAAGCATGACCACTGAAGATACTCAGGAGTTAAGTTTATGTCGGAAAAGACAGAGTAGAAACTACAATCCACACAGGCACAAATGTTCACACTGTAAAGTTTTTCTAAAACCTAGATGTCAATCAAATGGCAAGGGAAGGCAATGATACCATGAATGTGTCAACTATCTGTCAGCTTATGTTTTCCCTTCTCTCCATGCGTTACCATGAACAATGAAACCAGCCAATCATGCACCCAAGTCCTGGAGTTCAGCTCTTAGGGAATTTTCAGTTCATTCTCATCGAAAAGAGCATTCTTTGATGAGTTTCAAACAAGGATCCTCAAGATATCATTAGCCCTGACCTTTCTTCTAAATTCTAACTCCATATTTCTGTTTGCAAGGCCCTTTCCTGCTAAAAGATACCTGTGATGGATTGACTCTCTCCAAAGTGAAGTCTATGTCTGTGCCAGATACTGTTCTAGGCACTGAGAGTATCATGGTGCACAAAACACAGTCTCATGGAACTCTGCCCCATCTTGTCAGTTTACTGTCTTATTAACACAATATCTACAGGGGACCTCTTGGGCAATTATTAAAACACTGTACATTTCTACTTGACTGCTTATTTATTCAGATAGCACTCGTTTCTGGCTGATTCCCATGGTCGTCATAAATTTTTACTATTATGATGTGCTATTTAGAATACGAGAATTTTATTGTTTACTCTCTCTGCAATTGGTTAGAGATCCAAGAGGAACCAAGGCTTGGCTATCTAAACTATTCTGCCACACTTCCGGTCAAGATGGCGGTGTAGGTAAACCCGGCACTCGCCTCCTCCCACAACCACATCAAAATTACAACTAAGGCCCTGGCCGGTTTGGCTCAGCAGTTAGAGAGTCGGCTTGCAGTCCAAAGAGACCTGGTTTCGGTTCCCACTAAAGGCACGTATCTCAGTTGCAGTTTGTCCCCGGCCCTGGTTGGGTCGTGTGGGTGGCAACCACTCGATGTGTCCCTTTCACGTCGATGGTTCTCTCTCTCTCTCCCTCCCTCTCTATCTGAACAAAAAATGGAAAAATGTCCTCAGGTAAGGATAAAAATAAAAATTACAACTAAACTACAGAACAACCATCCTTCAGAACCACCTGAAATGGAGCTGAATGGAAGTCCTACAACTATGGAATTAAAGCAGCCACATCAAGGCTGGTAGGAGGGTCAGAGGTGCTGACAGGCTGGTCCCACACCCACTGTGGCAGATAAAAATCAGGAGGACACCTCAGCTGGGAAGGTCCTCCCTGAGGAGCGAGGGGTCCCCGTCCCACACCAAACACTCAGCTCAGGGTTCCAGTGCCAGGAAGAAAAGTTTCTATCACTTCTGGCTGTAAAACCATCGGGAATTGAGGTTGAGGAAGCTGAGGCTTCTGGAGCCCCAGGTAGCTCCTCTTAAAGGGCCCGCACATGGACTTACTCTGACTTGCTCCCTCTAAGCTCGGAGGGGAGGCAGCTTGAAAGGCATCAGAGATATACAGGGAAGAACTGAGCTGTTTGGCCTCCGGACAAGGACTGGAGAGGCAGCTTTCTCTTAGACAGACCTGCTGGCAGAGGCCTTTGTTCCTTTGGTGAACCCTTCCCTGGGGCAGCAGACTGGCACCATACCTGGGACTCCAGCAACCTGACTCACACTGTTTGCCCTGCTCTAGTGATTCCTTGAGGCCCTGCCCCACCTAAGCTGTTTCCAAAGGCTTTACCATAGGATTGGCCTGTCTTGGATCCTGCTTCAGAGTTTCCTAAATTCAAACAAGCAGCATCTGGTCTCAGCGAGCCCCATACCTCTCATTAACTGGCCTCATGCCTGGCACCAGAAGCAGCCAGCCTTGGCTCACAACTTGGCTTTTCCTGGGCACCTCCAAGCCCAGCACAAGCAGCAGCCATCAGCAGATCACCTTGTAGCTTATACCAGGTAGCCCAGGATAGAACATAAGCAGTGGCTGACCTTGCCCCAGAGCCAGCACACCCAGTGAATAGCTTCAGATCACATCAAAACACCATCACCCAACCACCTCTACAAGTGACACACTCAATGAGCGGACTTAGTGGGTTCAAGAGCCCTGATGAAGTAAGTTGTGCTCTGTGTGGTGGGCCCCTACACAGGTGATCCTACAAGGTATTTAGAAGTCAGTGGTCAGTGGGCACAGGCAGTCCTTGCAGCTGATCAGCCTGAGTAAATCCCTCCCACTGATGTGCCAATAGCAATCAAGACTCAATTATAACAGAAGGGTGTACAGTCCACACTAGGGGTGCACCTTGAGGACCCAGCTGGGGTGATCAGGGGGACTGTGCCACTGGATCCTTCAGGACACCTACAATAGGCCACCCTATGAAGCCTAGTAGACATAGCAACTCTACCTAATATATAGAAACAATCACAGGGAAGTAGCCAAAATGAGGAGACAAACAAACATGTCCAAAATGAAAGAAAAGAACAAAACTCCAGGAAAAGCACGAAACAAAATGGAGATAAGCAATCAATTGGATACAGAGTTCAAAACACTAGTTATAAGGTTGCTCAATGAACTTGGTCAGACCTTCAAGAAACTTAAGGAGACCTCCAAGGAACTTAGTGAGAACATCAACAACATAAAAAAAGGACCAGTCAGAGATGAAGGATGCACTAA